GAGGAGGAGGAGGAGGAGGAGGAGGAGAAAGAGGAGGAAGAGGAGGAGGAGGAGGAGAAGAAGAAGAAGAAGAAGAAGAGAGCGCACAAATCGGAGACTTCAGTTGAGCACTCGTTACTTATCAATAAAAACTAGAAAAGTGTTTGCTTTCTAAACAGAGCTTATGAAACAATCTCTGACTCATAATATGTGACACGACGCGGTGGAGTCACGTGCTCGTCAGTTTTTGGACGTGTGGAGTTATAGGTATCATTTTAAATCGTGTTCGTCACGTCTTGCTCTCCTTGAAAAAAATACTCATCTATCATGAATAGAAGTCAAAATATTTGCTATTGAAGGAGGTGGGGGTTGCGTGGTTTCATTGGAGAAATTAGCGAGAAACTGCAAATCTACATTATTTGGCCTTAAATCATGTAAAATCATTTCAAAGTAAAATAAACACAGAAATGTTGTTGAGTCAAAAAAGAAACATTTTATGCACCCAAAAAGCCCCGATTCGGCTCAAAATTATGGAATTTGAGTTGTAGGCATTTTTAGCTTCCTCAGTCTCTCCTACAAATATTTCATTGCATAAAAATCCTCAAAACCGTATTTTTTACCATTCCGGGCATGTTTATCACCACCATTTCCTCATAGAGTCAATATTTTATTTTTTCTTTACCGACCGTTTTCTCAAAACGCGACTTTTATCTGTACTTTTTTTAATAACTCCACCATTTTGTATCCAATCTTCATGAAATTTTCACAGAATGAAGAGAAAATGTAATACTAAAAACTAGTCTGTTGAATTTGTTATATTTGGAATAGTTTTATGTTGGTGGTGTCTTCTGTGTTAATTTTCGCGGTTTCTTTGCAAACTTGGATGGTACCTCAGAAAAAAATTCATTAAAATTTTAAAAATTCGTTTTGGAAAAAAACAACAGACCCACTTTTAGACCTAATGTTTGTTAACACGCATGCAAAAAAATAATTAATTTCCAAGAGCAGTAAGTGCGGTATTCATTACGTAAGACATGTCAACAAAATCCAATATGGCCGCCGTATCCATGAAAAAACGAAACTTTTTTCTCAAATTGAATTGCGGTTTTAAAGACTCCTTACTATGCTTGTTATATGTGTGAAAGTTGGTAAAATTCGGTCCTGTGGCGACTAACCTTGTGTGTTGTTATGTGTAGCACGTGTGTTGGTATGTGTAGTACGTGTGTTATTATGTGTAGTACGTGAGTTCATGAGTGACAGTTCAGGGAAAGTCGCCAAGCTGTTCGAGTGAATGTACGAATGTCATGTCTCGTTCTGGAAGGCCGTATGTGTGTGTATTTCTCTTCATGCTACAACAGGACTATACTTGCTGTCTTACTACGCTTTCTAATAATTTGGTGAACGAAAGGACATGTATTATGCTACATTGGTGACCCCAACGTGATTTAAGATAACCTTGTCTAGAGATCTAGATTTAATTTAGCATAACCTAGAATCTAGTAAAGGCGATACGTTTCTCACAATCATGGCAATCGAAACTGTAGCACTCAAACTTCCTACGTTCTGGATTTCTTGTCCTTCCGCGTGGTTCGCACAAACAGCGGCCCAATTTGCTTTGCGTGGGATCACAACTGACGAGACAAAATACTACTACGTCGTAGCGGCGCTTGATGCAGCTATAGCAGCAAGATCCCTTCTATCCATAATTTCCCCACCTCCATCAAGTAAAAAATACGACACACTCAAGTCTTTCCTTATAGAGGCCTATAGTTTCTCAGAAGAAGAAAAAGTAGCAGCCTTATTGAGCATAAAAGAACTGGGCGATAACAGGCCCTCTGAGATGATGGAAAAAATGCTAGCTTTGTCGGGAGAACACAAACCGTGTTTTCTTTTTCGCCATATTATTATGTTTTTACAGCTGCTGCCAGAACCTATTAGGGCTCCTCTGGCGAACTCCCACCACAGAACAGATTACCGCGCATTAGCGAAAGAAGCGGATAACCTGTACAACTCCCTTTCGCCAAATTTGAAAGTCTATACAGCGGTGCGACCTACCGATTCTGTTTCAGACCTTTCCGAAGCGTATGCTATTAGCTGGTTCCATCGAAAATTTGGATCAAAAGCAAGACGCTGCAGCAGTCCATGCAAGCACTTTAAGAATTTCCAACACAAAAAGCATCAGGGAAACGGGAGAGCGGGCCAGCAGTAAAAGTAGAAGATCCGACTGTTGGTCCGCAATGTTGCTCAACAACAACTCTTACGACACCGACGACAGACTGTAAAGTAACTCAGCTGTTTGTCACGGACAACGTTTCCTGATAGACACAGGTGCGCAAGTCTCTGTGACACCAGCGTCATGGGCTGAAAGAACGTCAGGTGCGACAGGTCCACCCTTGCAAGCAGCCAACGGAACAACCATAGCGACCTATGGATCCAAAGTTATTCCTCTTCATTTTGGTGACCGTGTGTTTAAAGCACGTTTGATATCAGCCAATGTTAAG